TGTAATCTGTAATGGAATACATTTTAAAAGTAACCTTCCCAACACTGGTGATCATCATAGTTGTTCTACTGATAAAATTATTTCCCTCAGTGGTGGAACACTGATAACTAATTCCATTGTATTGTATATTCATACATCTGAAAAAGTGCCGCAGGCCTGGCTAGTCATAGTAATAAAGGTAACTTGGTACTTTGCATCATTGGTCACGTAGGACTGAAGTTCTAATAGAAAAACACAGGATAACACAGTAGAGGCTGCGCAGTTCTGCCAGTTTGGGTTTCAAGTGTTCTTTGTAAATACACAGAAAAGTATTTTAGTGGATTTTGAGGTCTGTAGACTTGATGCTTTTCATTTGATGTCCTCACATCCCCTCTGCCATCATTGAAGAAACTTCCAAACTTAAATGCACGTCATGGAGACAAGCAGCACAGAGGCTTCTTAGAGAACAGAAATAGGTGTGTTCTTCCTCCCCCCTCTCTCTCTCCCCCCCTCCTTATCCTTTTTGGGAGAAGCTGTAACCTAAGGAGGAGAAGCTAGCAGAGACATTAGCATAGTGGGGGTTATCATCAGGGTGCGAAAAGTGTGGCGAGTTTCCAGCAAGTACACATTGCCAGTGGGAAGTTCAAGGAGCCTGTGATTATAGGGATTTTCCAAACATTACACAGAGCCAGTGGGTATTTCAAGGCCCTGGGACTGTGGCTTATTCTCAGATAATAAACAGAGCCGGTGGCATCAATTAGCAACACTTGCCAACCTGATGCACTGTGCTTATTTTAGTGCGAATATACTACAAAAGAGGGCTAATTGAGCCTTTGCACAGCTGCACATTTGTCATTTATATAATTTTTTTTATTCATTTTTAAAAATTCATCTTCTGCTTTCCCCGAGCTCTCATTTCACGTGCATATTTCATGCTTTTCTTTGGATATTAAAGGAACATTTCTATGTTTCTCCACAGGTGTTTCTCCAGGTCGGATCACCTGGCCTTGCACATGAAGAGGCACATCTGAAGGACAGGAAGAAAAGAAAAGGAGCAGGAGGAGCACGAGGAGGAAGAGGAGGAGCAGAAGGAGAAATAGGAGGAGAGATAGGAGGACAGAAGGATGGGCAGCCATGCTATCGACTGCCTGCGTCATATCCCCGCCGCCGCCGCCCCTCCCCCAATCCAAACACCAGTAGGCTCAAACAGCCATCGGGGGGAAAGTTGGGCAGGAGGAAAAAACGAGGAGTAGCTAGATTGTTGTTTTTCTTTAAAATTACACACTCACGTTTGCAATAGTAAACACTTCACACACACACCCGTCTTTGAACGCATCACCCCGGTGAACCCCGGACACTCATGCAGCTCTGGGGGCTTGGACACTGCCAGATCAACATGTACTCAACTTGCTTGACAAAACATTTTCCCACCTTCTTTCGTTTTTCTTGTTTTTTTGAGACTTTCTCCGTAGTCAGTGTGTTAAACTTATCGAGTCACTTCGGGTGAGCAGAAACTTTTAAATATCCATGTAGTCAGCTGTTAGTGCTTTACCGGCTTTTGAAATCAGATATTCGACTGTTTTTTCTTTTTCAGCTTTCTTGCTCTTTTCTTATCGACGTTTCTCATACACGGGACACACGAACCGTCACCTGCCGCAGTCAGCTCCAGTACTCATTGTGAAGAAAACAACAATGCCAAATCTGCAGGAGAGAGACTGTACGGATTGACTCCCAGCACGGGTGACAATCGAACCCACGGCCCGGGACACCGCTGGTGCGCCCGCGGGTGCCGCTGCAGCTCTCAGGCTCTCCTCCAGTGGGTGTTTTGCATCTCTCACCTTCACCGAGATGCCTGCCGCCTCCGCAGGCCATCTGACAGAAATGCGCAGCGACACTTTCTTCCCTTTTTTCTACTTAGAGGACGATAATTCTTCTTCTTATTGTTATTTAAAAAAAAAAAAAAAGACGTTTTTTTTCTCTCTGTGAGGAAAAAATGTCTGAAAACTCACAGCAATGTGTTTGAGAAGAAAAAAACAAAAAAAAATAAATAAAAAAAAATCTAAGAAGACTTTAACAGAATGTGTGGGATGAGAAGGAGAGCGTTGTTGGTCTTTATAATCCCCATGTGCACCGACTCTGCATCTGCAGACTGCAAGAAATCAGTGGATGAACAAACAACAGAATCACACAGACTCTCAGAAAAGGCGTTTGTGTCTGTGCTTTTTTTTTGGACTACAATAAAAAAAACAGAAAGTAGAGAGGTCTTCATTTGTGTGCTGCTCTTTCTGCCCTGTGACTCCCTGCAGCTGAAAAACAAAACCTTGTTATGACCTCTGTGGTCTCGTACTCTACAGCAGCCGGGCAGAGGATTCCTTAAAAACTGGGAACATGTTTCTTGGTTATTTGTTTTTCTTTTGTTTTTCTTTTTCATTCTGATTCTGAAAGTCATCCTCGAGCGCTTTCACAGACTCTGAGATCTCATCTCCCTGGCAGCACTGCGGGGCGAGAATGGAAGCTCAAGAGCTGCTTTTTGGTTATTCACGTGGAACTAAAGATGCCAGCCGACCTTTGTGTGGCGGCTCTGAATAGACACGGTCACATCGACCCGTCAATTTTGCCTGTTTCATATCCACTGACTGCACTGACTTTTCTTTTTAATTCTTTCCAATGTTATCTGTGCTTTTTTCCTTTTTCTACGGCGAAAAAAATAAGGATAAAAGGAACACAAAGAAAAAAAAAAATCATAAAAGACTTGGAAAAAAAACCAACACAAAAACAATTCTGTCTCACTCTACACGCTGCATACAGAACAAGCACACATGCTCCGTCAACACACACACTTACACTGCAGTTCTTACGCTCAAGGCTCCTCTTGAGATAAGACTAATAAGATTTAGGAAAATAATTATTAAACTAATGAACAGAGTTGGGGGAAACAACACACACTGCATGGCAGGCTTTGTTGCAAACGCACACACTAGCTCATGAACACACATGCACGCACGCACACTCTTCCTGGAATTATATGTTCTGCTCCCAAATCTTTTTTCACAGTAGGAATTTAGCAACTGTTGTTTAGCAGAAGAGTATCTTAGCTCTCGGCTGGAGGTAACAAATGATTCCAAATCCTTTGAAGTGAGAAATCAGCTTGTTCTCAGTTCCAACAATCACCCACATATCCCTCACTGCAGCTTGTGCCTCTCATTTAATCAGCGTTTTTTCTGGTTTTTGGTCGGGTTTTTTTTTTTACTTCAGAGACTTCGGTTACGTTGTTGGTTACAGTTGAGTCAGTGGTCAATGTTTTCATCGGAAATAATCCTAAGAAAGCAGCTGCGGCAGATCTGAAACATTAAACCAGCAGCAGGCGTGTAGTATTATTATTAAAGATGGTTTATGCTCGTGGGAAAAAGTGCTTCAAGATGACAAAATTGCCTGAAACGTTCAGGATAACCCCTGATGTAGCCTGAAAATTGAAGCTGTTAGCTAGACTGTTGGGGGATGTCAAAGCTTGCTGTGTAGAAATTCCAGCTCTGGTTTTGATCTGGCGAATCAAATTTATTTTCCAACTTGATGGTGCTGTGTAAAAACGATGTTATTTTTGACAAAATACTCAGCACCCACGACCATATAGATGCGTCCTGTTCATGCTATTTGACTGATTTAACACACGCAGTAAGGTTTGAATCACCTGAGGTTCATAATGTGCGATGAAAACACTGACTTTGATCTGTGCCCTGAAAGTAATCAGCAACAATTTTAATGTAAAAAAAACAGAAAAGAAGAAAAGATGGATCTGAGAAAACTGAGGTAAACGTGTGTCCACACTGCCTGCTTCCTTTGCTCAATAGTTGACGGGGGAAAAAATTAAATTAAAAAAAAAAAAAAATGCACTCGCCTTGCAATCGGGGCACCGACAGACGCTACCGCTGCATCCGCCCACCACCACCCACTGTATATGCCCCGCAGCACGTGCAAACAGTCCATTATTCACTGCTACTGACTGGGTGCAGTTGGGGTGAGGGTGCAGGTTCCTGAAGCTGGCAGGAGGTTTTCACATCCCAGTGTACCCAGTCATCGTGCCAGTTGGCTTCGCCAGCCTTCATTAGGTGAAACAGCGAAAACATTCCCCTCCAATGGGGAATGTTGGGGGGGGGGTTATGGTGCAGCTTCGAACAATCGATACCAAAAACCTCCAGCGTGGAACTGCCCTTCAGCCACGGGCAGAGTCTCACCACTCAGGAGAGATCCGTGGGAGACCGCCTCCATATGAATTCTGTGTATCTAGCGGCAGCTTTCACTATTAACTCTCTCTCTTTCTAAATATGACAAAGCAGCCCGTGTGGGAGGCGAATCCAGTGTTTCACTTTTGATTTCATTTGCCCCGTTTGCTGGTTTCCGTTACAGAAGCTGTGTCGATGGTCGTGTTCGTCGTTCTCGGATAATGCAAAGTCATGCCGTCGGCGTCGAGGCATGCAAAGAGGCCCTCCCATACAACGTACAATCATAGAGGGATCAGGATTGTAGCACTTTTGTGAGGCTTTTGATGGCATGAATGTGTTTACGTGTGCATGTATGTGTCCCTGTTAGGCAAACTGTGATGGGAAGCAGTCATTCAGCAGAGAGGTTTATAACTGACTTTTTAAACTGGTAAACAAGTGTGCGGCTGTGTGAGGGAAGAACTGGTCGATGCATTTGCTGTTGGATTTTTTTCTTTGGTCAAAGCAATGGCTGACAATGTGTTTATTAGGATTTTTCTTTCCTTTTGACCCTCCAATTATTCATTCATCCATGCATACAAGTCATTGAGCTTGATGACTTGCATCGCATTAAAGAGATGCTAATTCATGCCTTGCACTACACAGGTTTATCTTAAACCATGTAAAATCAGACTGCCTGACAGATTAGTTGGCATTCGGTTCAAATTATTTGGTTTTTGTGCCTATTTATAAAAACTAGGAAGCAGCATTTTGCATTCATGCTAATTTAAACTCGACTTAAATTAATCTTTCACAAACTTTGAATTAAAAAATGCTAAAAAGCAAAAACATTGTGCTTAAAGGATTCTCTAAGAAGATTTGTCGCTTTGAGCACATTTCTGTGTTGGTTTTGAGCAGTTGTGCCACTCGCCACACAGGCAAAAAAGCTAAATTGTTTGTTCCAAAAACAAAATTAAAGATTGTAGTGCTTGCCAGCATGAAGCGATTGCAACTCGCAGTTCATCTCCTCGCAAATCATAACCCCTCATGACATTCGACAGATCGCAAAGTCACTTCAGATAGAAATTCACATTTCATTCCCTTCACGTCTGAGCCTGTCAAAGCAGGTTTTCTGTCACAGTGTTGCCCGGGTCTCCTGTCGTCTCACAGGCTCTTCCAGGCCACAGCTCTGATTAGCATTAACTCTCGGTTCTCTTCTCAAGTTGCAGTTCAGCTAATGAGATAGCTCTGGTTCACAGGGAAATTTAGTGGTCTGGAGAAAGAGAAAAAAAAACAACAACAACAGGGACCTTGAGCCAGACTTACACCCAGTGGACACATTTGATGTAGAACAAACAGAAAGTCCTGTTAGCGCAGAGAAATATCAGGAGACGGCGAGATACTCACTGAAGAGGCTGAACTTTCATGGAAAAAAAAACAAAAAAAAAAAATCATTTACCTACATGAATATCCAGATCATTAAATCAGCCATTGCATTTTATCTCATGGATTACAGATAAAATAAATTACCATTTATCTGCAAAGTCCCAACAGATATTTAATCCACTCCACGTCCCCCGATCCTCCCCCGTGGTTCACAGTTAGTGCCATTCTAATTTTCCTCTCTCTCTCCCTCCATCCTCACCCCATCTCTCCCTTTCTGTCCACAGCAGTTGTCCATGCACTATCAGCTGCGGGAATGCTGAATGCACACTTTACACGTTTTGCCCAAAGATTTGCATATCTGCAAGTTAACTGCTGTGAATGTAGTAGATGTAGTGGAAAGAGCTGAGATGCAGAGGTGCAGAAAAGGAGTGGTGGATGGACGGTGGGAGGAGAGGGACTGTTGATCTTACATAACCGTTCCTGTTAAAGCTTAATTACTGGTATGCTCCAACGCTTCATGCTTCATAACATTCTCGGTCCTCTCGTCTACTGTCAGCTGGAGCCGAACTCATTGTTCACAAATGTAAAATAACGTTTTCATGGTCTTATAGGGTGCCTGGTATAGTGGCGCTAGCAGCTTAAGCAGGAGTGAAGTAGCTTTAGTTTAAGTTAGCTTCTTAGCACACTGCAGATAGCACAGTCAAGTCTCATTTCAAAGTCAAGGTGGGCTTGAGTCTTTGGGAATGTTTAACCATTATATAAGCAACTTCAGACAGTTTCATTCTTTCATTAAATGGATAGAGTTTAGGGAGAATCTGGAGAATTTGCTGAAGGTGGTTTCACACTGAAGGAAGAGTCTGAATCTTGTTAGCTCTCTAAAAGCCTCGGTTATGTTAATGGGAATAAACATTTTCTCTGACAAAGAAAACTTACTAATTCTTAATTTAGTGACCTGAAATTCAGTTTTAGATGATTAGCCTGTTAATGCTGTTTAAATTAAGTGTAAAAATAGCTAGCTGGCTAAATAGCTAGCTAGCACTAGCTGGCTAAATAGCTAGCTAGCACTAGCTGGCTAAATAGCTAGCTAGCACTAGCTATGTATAACACTAGTGCTTTTACACCAAAAAGCACTAGCTATATAAAAACATATGTAGCTAGAGAACTAGCTTGCGAGCACTGATTATGTACAAGTGTAAAAGCATAAAAGCAGACCAGAGAAAAAGGCATCAAACCCAGTGTGAAAACGACCTTCAGACATTCTCTGTAGCCACAGTTAGTTGTTTAGACACAGTCCTTCGATGGATAAGGCTTCAGTTTTCACAGTTTTCCACCATATCGTCCTGATGAAGGATTGTCACTTCTGGCAGCTTTTGTAAATAGCGTGAGATCTTTCATGCAGACCGCTCTGTCTGTAATTAACCATATGTGGCGAACAGCATCGCTCAGACATTTCAGCGTTTCTATAGATCTGCTTTAGTTCTTGCAAACATTGCACTACATGATCATACTTAGCTATTGCACTCTTCATGTGCGCGCACTGCTAGCATAGTCTGTTGGAGCACTCTGTCAAATATCCACTTAACATTTGTTACATGACCAGGATGCACATGGCCACCAAGAACTATTTTCCACAGGTCACCTTGCAGCAGATCAGACTGACATATCTGCTTAAAACTCCAGTTAAATGCCTTTTTCATCACTCTTTCTCTGGAGGAATATGTCGTACTCTGAAAACACTCAGTCATGCTGTGACTTGGTTGAACTTTCTTGGTATCAGTGGCATCCCAGAGTGACGCTGTCTGTAACTACTGTGTTTGTCCATGCTTGATGTGTCAGTATATAAGAGATTCACAGATCTTAACCCTTCTCCTTGTGTCTGTATGTTTCACTTCACCTACACCAAACCCTCTCTACCAAAACCACAACCATCAGAGCCCTCTGGGACCCAACACGCTCATAGATATCCAGCTGTTCTGAGAAGTATTCTCAAGAGCTATGCAGCTTGGGATCCCCAAGCAGTTCTTTGGTGAGACTGCAATAACTTTTCAACTTTACCAGCTTAATGTCCTCACTGGGTACAGTTTTTTTTCCCCAAATGACCCATCCTTGTAGGTGCTATACACACTCTGTCAGTTAATCTGCTCAGTTGGCCTGATGCCTGATGCTTTTAGTTAACAGAGTCTACTTGGAGTCTGTCCTATTCTGTCAGTATGTATGTGGCAAAAGGATTGGTACCAAAGAATTAGGTTTCTCTGTGCTATATTGTTATGGGAAATAGTGCCCTGTCACAGCCAAGGTAATATTTGCTTCAAGTTTGCGTTGAAATATTTGATTTTTGGCATATTAATTTTTAAGGGTATCAAAATGTTCAGTCCAGAATGGCTATTGTCTGTTTAAACATTTTTTTTTTTACATACGATTTTATGACAATTTTATGCAATCAGATGCAATCTATACAATCTTTATTTTAGTTACAGTCACTTTTGAAGACTTCCCATCAACATTTCAGTCTACAAAAGTCTATAGCTTTAGCAGTCTATCAACCGTATTCCTTAGAGATTACATTTCTGAAATAGTACAGCAAAGTGATTTTGAAGGAAATATAACGTAACTGTTAAAATGATGCAATCATGCTGCCAGGCAACCTAAAATCTTTCAGACAGAAGACTTATGTAATTTAGGTTTAACCTTAGCTTTCAGAAAAGATCTTACTTGTTCAAAGTGACTGTGTATTTATATGCCTTTGTTGTAAGTAACATGGTAGAAATGACATGCACTTTTCAAGTATTACCGTCCACGCTAACAGAAAGTTTATTTGGTTCCAATCCTTATGCCACATATCGTGTGGCCAATCCAATATTTGTATTAACTGTGAGTGGTATTTCAGCACCTTTGTATGGCCCACTGTGTGTACTCAAACCACAGCTGTTGAGGGATCCCACTTATATATTTTCTGGGATGAATGGACATGTAGAAAAGTGAATTAAGACAAGCAGATGTGTTTTCACCATCACGACATCCTTCTCACCTGCCCTGCAAGGGCTCTGTAACTCCGTTCATATCAACCTTGGATCCACGACCCTTCACTCCACCCCGCCCTCCTCTCTTCTCTCACTGTCACCTCTGTTGAGTTGAGTTTCTTTTCCGTTCTCTTGTTTTACTTACGATTTTTTGCTGTACAAAGTGTTTAAAATATTATTTGTATTATATGATGTTAGTATGGTAATGTTCTTTATTAAGGAAGAAGAAAATTTATTTTTGTTACTGGTCTGTTTCATAATTCTTTTCTAAATTGGTATTGTAAGATATCTATGCAAGAACTGTTAAGTGGAGCATTTTTATTTAAGAATGTAATATGTGTAATAAATGGTAGAATCTGCTTTTGGCTCTTTTCGGTTTTGTTCAGTCAAACCTCACATAAGCGTTTAACATTAATGAACACGATTCAAAGCACAAAGTGATCCCATCTGGTGAAGTTCAGATTAAAATGAAAAATACGGCAACTAAAATTTATCACGTTATTTGCATGCTGTTACCGCTGCCTGGAAATGTTTGACAAACACAGTGATTCAGCATGAATACACATTAATGTTGCTGTTTAATTACAGTGGTTATTATTGTTGTAATGACAAATATACTGAACAATCTTTTCTTTAATATTCTTTTGGTTATTTCCATTAAAAGCGGAACATTGTGACCCAAACTGAATCACCAATGACATCAACATAAAATTACAGTTTTTTATTTTGCACAATCTGATACTGATATGACTGGAAACAGGAATGCATTTATGTGCTGAAGGACAGATGGTATCATGAGCTGATAATTCAGTCCTAACTCCTCGAATGAAAAGTTTGTTTTACAACTTTTTATTTCTAAGCAATTAATGCCACGATTAAATTTCTTGAATCTTGGTTGGGTGACCAAACAAAAAATAAATAAATAAATATTTTTTTATTTATATAGCACCTTTCAAGACAGAATCACAAAGTGCTGCACATAAGTCATAAAAAGATTTAAAAAGAGAAAATAAAACAGGCAAAAAATTAACCAAAAGCAGTTTTAAAAAGGTGAGTTTTGAGTTGTTTTTTTAAAAACAGCGACTGAGTCCACAGTTCTTAATGTTTGGGGGAAAGAGTCCACAGTCTCGGGGCCACAGTGGCAAAAGCTCTATCACCCTTAGTCCTCCTCTTAGTATTTTTTATAGCAAGTAAGCCCTGATCAGATGACCTCAAAGACCTGCTGGGAACATCGGGCTGTAGCAGATCAAAGATGTAGGCAGGTGCCAGTCCGTGCACAGCTCTGTAGGTCAAGACCAGGATCTTAAAATTGACTCTAAATGTAACAGGAAGCCAGTGTAACTGAGATAATAACGGTGTCACATGTGAGTACTTGGAGGATTTTGTCAAAAGCCTCGCTGCAGCGTTTTGCACAACCTGCAGACGATCCAGAGAACCTTTGCTTAGACACATAAACAGCGAATTACAATAATCCAAGCGTGACGAAATAAATGCATGTATAGCAATCTCCAGTTCAGAGCGAGATAAAACCGGGCTTAGCCTAGCCACATTTCTTAAATGATAAAAACAAGACCGAACCAGAGATTTCACATGCCCATCCAATGTGAGACTCGAGTCAAAGGTGACACCTAAATTCCTGATAGAGGATTTAACATAAAGTGAGAGAGGACCAAGGGCTTTCACTATCTGCGATAGAAACATATCAGGGGCGCATACGAGGACTTCGGTTTTCCCCTCGTTGAGTTGGAGGAAATTTGCAGCCATCCAACGTTTGATCAAATCTAAGCAATCATTCAGACGCTGAAGCTTAGATAAATCCTCGGGCATAAAAGAAACGTACAACTGAATATCATCAGCATAACAATGATAAGAAATGTTCTCAAAAGAGCCCATTATATGCTGGAGGGGGAGAAGATAAATGAAAAACAATAAATTAAAAACAATAAAGGCCCCAAAACTGACCCTAAAAAAAAGTAGTGATTGGCCTTTTTACTCCTTACAGAGGCTAAATGGTTTAGGTTAACCCACACTCTGTGAAAACAGCCTGAGGGCTGATGAAATATGATCAAAAATGAAAGGAAAGAAAGGGCAACAAGGGGAAGTAAACTGAGGGAAGCCAAATGTTAACAACACAACTTAGCACCACCATTAAGGCAGCCTTAATTTCAGTAACAGCCAGAGAGAGCTAGCAGCAGCAGGTGATGTGCCAGCAGGCTCACTTCAGTTTTAGTTGTATAGCACCAAATCACAACAGCAGTCCCTTAAGACGCTTTATATTACAAGGTATAATATTGAGTTGTTGGTTCAATTATTTGTTCAAAAGCAGTCTAACGATGTGTGAGAGATCGAGAAAGTAAGGGGGCCCGCAGAGACTGCTTATGCACGGGGCCCCCGAATTCTGTACTGTGCCCCTGTACCTGCATATAACGCACACATTTTGCTTGCTGTGGGAGTCAAAACGACATTTTTATTGTGCATTTTGTGGTTCACACACACAAAAAGGGATTTATGTTAGGCTAGTGTAGCTGAGAGAAGAAGAAAAAGCAACAAACAGCAGGACTTATGTTTCCTGTTCAGATACAAGAAAAAGCTATTGTTTGTTTACGTTACAGATTTATCTTCCGATTTCATTTTAGGAGCCATGAAATGGGAGAAAACCAAAAAATATTTCATCACAGTTTAAACTTTGTTTTTCCCGATCAGTTGAAGGAAAATCCAACACAATGTAGCAGCGTGCAGAAAAGCTGTTCCTCGATCATGTCAGAAACGTTTGTGAATAATATTTTTTCTCTCCGGAAACACTTTCAGTCTGTGACTTTTCAGCAGCAGATTATAACAAACCGACCGAGGAAACAACAGCCATCCATCCATCCTTAAGAGAATCAAAGAGACGTTTCTTATTTAATTTTAGCTTGCAGGAAATATAAAATCCCCCTGGTACAGGATGCCCTTGGGCCGCTCTGGGTCTGTTTGATTTCAGTCACCTTTTCCCAGAGTCTGAATCCGGCTTTCACGTTTGCAGTGCAGGTGTGGGACGATTTCCTTTTGCTTTGAATTTCTACATAAATATCATCTCTCCAATATAACTCTTGAGATTTCCATATTATGTTCCCATAAAGCTCAATGCAGCTGTAAAAACCAGCGAAATCTTCTATTAAAGGGTTCGGTTCCAGAGCACTTTGACAAGACAGGCAAAAAAGAAAAACTCTTCCACAGAATGACTGAAATCACCCCGGTGTGGCCAGCCAGATGTAATTATGAGTAACATGGTAGCACATTACTCCTGCGTAATGGCCATTTAAGGCAGATGGACACATCCTGTCAGGCCGCAGGCGAGAGCACAGACGTATGGAGGGACAATGGCACGTAGCTGCGACAGAACAGCTCACAGTCTCAACACTGGTGATAATTTCGCTCTTTATTACAAATTAAAACAATCTCATGAATATCTATTGCGCCCCTCCTGGTAAATGGCTTCATGGTTTTTAATTAGAGCTAACTTGTCAGTGACTGAGCTGACACAAACCCATGTCATGCGGACTAAATGAGGTAATCAAATAATTAATGGCTAACTGGGGATCAATTAAGCAGAAGATACGGTGCTCATAGAAAGCATATCTGCTCTGTTAGTTTGTCCTCTTACATAGAAAATGCCAGTTAACTAATTAAAAGGGACCAAAGTGTGATTGTATTTTCCTGGCAAGACAGACTTGACGCTCATTCCTTGGATTTAAATCATCTTAACAGGTCTTTTACTGTAAATACAGACTTGGCACTTCTACATTTGCCCATGTTTTCTTTGCTTACAGAGCACTGACGATGAAGACATCTCAGCGGAGCCAACACGGAGGATTATTATCATTTCTCAGCAGTGGGCTGTGTTGGCTAGAAAATGGGAATTCACAATGCTGATTAGTGTGGGCATTTTGAAGTTTTGCAAGCTTATTCACTTCTTGTCAGAGGTGGGGAAGGGAGGCGAGCGAGCTGTTTATAATCTTATTCAGCAGCATTAGCCCGTGTAGTGTTGGTGTAGTGTTTACAGAAACAGCAACCATCAGCCTTTCTTAACAGCAGAAATAAACAGAAATGTGGTGAATTGCCCCGTAGCACGCTCTATACTTATCTCCCAGAAGGACCGTGTCAGCTCATTTAAGTGACTCTTAGACCCAACTGCCCACCAGCAGCCACCCAGTATAATGCTGCTCTGTACTAAAAGAGGAGATCATCACAACAGCTCTGCACAGAACAACAGCAGCAGATTTAAAATTATTCATGATGGTGGGAAAACAAGCTGAAATAGTATGAATGCTAGTGCAAAAAAAAAAAAAAAAAGCATGGTGAGTTTAAGTAACTCAACATGCTTAATAATAATAATGACGGATTGCATTTATATAGCGCTTTTTGGGACCCCTCAGAGCGCTTTACAATATGTTTCGTTGTTTAAACAACAAACCAGATTTTTTAGAACACTTTCTTTTTCTGACATTGTAATTTTAAGATGATTAAATTCATACACTGGTGAAGGCAGCTAC